ATATATATATATATATATATATTCAAAATTTTATGATATATTTAAATTTATATTTAATTCAAAAATAAAATCATTATTGATTTCTTAATAACATCGACAGAGACAAATAATAAAATAGAACATTAAAATCGAGATGTGTCCTCGCTGCATTGCGCGAGTACTTTTCTAGTTATATTATAAAGCATTTGATAAAAACTCTTAAAAATAATTATTTATGTATGAATTACTGTTTATTAATGCATATTACTTATAATTTAATATTACAAATAAATTGTGCGTAAGTATAACCTATTAAAGTTTTATTTTTGAATTCGTATAACTAACTAAAAAAAACATAATCAAATACATGATACACATCTCATTTTAAATATAAAAAATCTAAAATATAATTAGAATAATTATTGAGTTCTAACAAAATTATATATTTATAAAAATTATATTGTTAAGCCAAAGATAAATTACTCCACGATTAGACCTATTGAATTATGATTAAAAAAATTGGCGTAGAGAAATTATATAAAAAATGAGAATTTGTAAATAGTTAATTTGATATAAATATCGATATATTTTTTCAAACTTTTATAATATTTTTAAATTTATTTTTATTCAAAAAACATATTATATTAATAAAAATAAAAAATAAAATGAAACATTAAAATAAAAATATATTTTACTATAGTGTATAATTACCATTTTAACGTCAAAAACCTCCGATCATTTAATGCTAATCAAACAACCAATATTAATGGTTAGGCTGCTGGGATAAGAAAAAAAAATCATAAAAAATAACAATTATTCTATCCTTTTTAGAAATGCGTGCTATGTTGTTTGATTTTATTTCAACCAAAAAAAATGATTGTGATAGAAAAGAAATCGAAAATACTATAAATATGAATAACGTTTAATTTTGGTCTCTAACTTTGTGTAATTTCGATATATTTTATTCTTAAATGTCAAAAACTTAGATTCGGTTTTTTATATTTGTCTGTTTTCAACAGTTTTGGTCCCTTTGTAACCGTTAATTTTTTTCATTAAATCCAATTAAATATGTAGTAACTTAGGGATTTTTCAGTTGTCAATTAATAGAAAGTAGTGTGAACAACCCCTTAGTCATTTTTCACTATTTTTTAACTTTATATTAAAATTAAAAATCATATTATATATTAGGGATATTAATAAAACTGTAACCGAAAAAAAAAATGAATCTCGAGTATGGTCCCAATTAAGAAATCTCCCTATCATCACTCTTTTATCGAAACTCCAACTCCGATTAGGTTACATCGAGATAGAGAATCATACCTCTTGCTCTCCCATTTGAGACCCACCCTTTAGGTTTAAAGTTAAAAATATAATGTTTTTAATTTTAATTTAAAAGTTAAAAAATACCCTCCATTTAAATAAATTTTACGAAAAAAGTTAACAACCGTTAAACAAAATAACTAAACTGTTAACATTGACATACGTAAAAGATCAAGTTTAAGGAGTTAAAAACTACAGGGGTTTAAAAACAAAATTGAACTTTACTTCTTATTAAATAAAATGTTCAGTCTTGAACTTATCAACAATTTGTGGACTTAATTTTGAGTTTTATATGTAGAGAGAGAAAATGAGAATCACGTTAAAAAGGATGCAATCAGGAAGCCCACTTGACTCCGTACTAAATGATATTATTAAAAACCAAAAATATCACCAACCACTCTTTTTATTTTTTATTTTTTTTAAGGTGATTCAGTATAATTTTTATTTTTTACATTTTGAATGTATGGTTTGATTTGATTCTGACATGAAAGA